TGTCTGTAACAAGTATATATGGTTCCACAGCTAGAAGCTGTAAATTGGACACAATTGAATCAAATCGCCCTCGACGACTTTTCACTGCAAATAGGTAAGTACCAAAAGTCATTGTACCTTTTCTTAAGCTGTACGTATTGCTGATCGAGAAGCCTTTTCTTGTTTTATTGTCCTCTTTATGGTTTTTTTCCAGATTTGAACTATAACTCAAATCACACTTTCATCGCTCACATTCACGATGAAGAGAAATATTTGAATTCTAGACTTTTCATAGCCTTACACAGGAATCCCATTGACTTTACACTAACAGCTGCTAGATTGATAAAAGAGCGATAACGGGTTACATGATCTATGCGTAGAATAAATATGGACAAACCAATACCACCTGCTAGGGGCCGAGGTACAAATTACCCCAGTCTCCAAGGAGTAGAATTACTTGTATCAATTTAACTGTCTTAAATCTGACACCTGCACCTGATCCAGTGAGGTTCGAGGGTCGTAAGACTTCAGATGGCAAGATTTTTGGGCCTTAGTCTGAATTGAGTGCGTACTTTAATCTATTAAAGTGCTATAGCAGGGAAATCTTTGAAACCGTTTGTGGGCATTATTTCAAGATTATGGAAGTATATCTAGGATATGGTAAGAAAAAAATTAATTCGTACGTACGGCCTACTTTTTCGAACGTAGGGATTAGTAGTCCACATGTTACATTCCATTCCATACTTCAGTTCATTGGACTTGAGCGGGACCAAGAGAGGGCGCGATTTCCTAGCAAAGGATGCTCCTTTGGTAGAAACTTCACCTTGCTGGTTCCCAAATGCCCTAAATACACTCTCATACGAGATTGACAGTAAATAGACCGCAAAAATTTCTTTACTCGTTTTCATCGTGTGTCAAATATGAGCTTGACACTTGACACTTGGCCCTTCTTCGGTTAAACCTTTTGCTGAAACGTACGAGCCAAACCTTTATGCTTAATCACGTGCGGCAGGATACCGTTGAAAGCCTTGATTTCCCGGCTACCGATTGATAGCCTTCTATCCTAACGACTGCGTTTTATCTTAGAAGGTCGATCGTTAGTCTAAGCCTAAAGTTCGATTGCTAGTTGGCTTCGGCCTGGGCGATCAGCTGACGTGCGAGCGTGAATGGCTGCAAGTCCTACTGTGACGCATTGCCTGGTAAACTTTCAACTCTTGAGGTATCAGAAGCAGTTTATCATAGTCATCAGACACGGATGGGGTGGGGGGTCATGCCAGCGCCTGCATTATTTTAAATCCGGGTAGCAATTAGTTATACAAGCATATATAGTTCAAGCTATGCCATTCGTCGCAATATGTTACCTGTGGACTGTATTTTATAACTACTTTAGGAATAGGATCTTCTAAACTGATGAAAATGTATGACATTTCTGATAAATGCAATTTGTGTTATTGCAGTATATTACGATAACTTATTCAAAATGAGACTAAGATGAAACGAGATATGGAACCAATCAAACAATGCAATTTCCACTGATTCAAACAGAGGGAGCTTCTTATAAATAAGTGATATGATCCATGCGTGAATTTAAATGAATCTCAAAAGATCATGGAACTGACAAACATTCTCCCGACAAACAGGGATATGAGGAATTAGTTATGATACCACATAATTGACACTAAATCCGTCTGGATCAACGACTGAATCCATCAAATGTGTTAATCATGGTAAAAGTCCCAGGTATACCTGTCAAGTTAAAGAAAGGCATAAATTCTTTGACATTTGATCTATTAAACTCCTTGATATCGTGTAGGTGTCAGCAAAAGGTCACGAGTCTCTTAGCGGGTTCCCGTTTTCGTCACGTGCAACTGTGTTGTTTTCTGTTTCTAGCTTCTGCTAAAGAGAATTGTGTTTGCCAATTACATGTACATTGCAACACATGCAGGACATTTGTTCGCCAGAGGTATGAAAGGAAGGCAAAAATGTTGTGCCAAACGTTTCAATTCTAGCGAGATGATTCTTTTAACTGAATGTCTTTGTTATTTTCACAATTTTTAATATCATAAGTTAACTCAGGGTCGTCCGATTAGGCTTTGACAAAATGTTACTTTATGGCTCTCAGGTCTATAGGCCCTAAGCTCTCAAATACTTCGTTCAGAGGAAACCCACCCGATCAAACAAGATGCAGTAACTGTACTGAGGTATTGTGAGGTATTCGAATCGTGGTCACTCCTAGCAAGAGCGGATGGGGGAGGGTGTCAACAAGGGTTATGGACACCCCACCACTGCACTAAAACAATCAGTAAAAATAATGAGAGAAAGGCGATTGGTGTGTGTTTTTCCTTTTTCAGGTTCCTTCCTTCAAAAAGCACGGGAGGGCCACAAATATTATGTAGCCTCACCCTCCAGAAAAGTCTTAAAAGGTTATATGGGCAAATTCAATACCCCCCGAAAATTTGCTTCTATAGGTCCGCCTTGCCCCTAGTAAATATAAAGAGGAGATTACAAAATTCATGTACCACTGTAACCGAACTTATAATTATTAAAGCGTCTTGTGACGAAGAGTTGTACCAAACAAACATCAAAACAAACGAGACAGTATTTACAATTAAGGATAGTCATGTACAAAACTGAGGTAGACGCATGGAGCTAGACCAGAATCACGCACCATGCACGTGCTACTTCAGTCAAGACTGCGACACGATTGGTTGAACTGCTTGGAACTATCCTTATGAATACACAAGGTAACTCACGCATGCTCAATTATCGGGTTTGTTTCATTCGTCGACTTTGACACCACATTAGAAAATCCGACACGTCATATTACGAGTCCCGCTGAGTAAACAAACTAGACTAAAATACCAGCCCTTTTTTTTTACGTACCCGCTGTATGTAGTGAACAGAAATCCGCCTGTCGAAATGCTTACAAAATGTTTACTATTTTTTCAGGCAGAATACTTGGATCATACTTAGAATACCAATTAGTGAACAAAAAAATGATCCCCTATAGGTCCTACAACAAGGAAGTACAATTCAATTTGGGCAACATTGATTATATTTGGATTAGAGGAGTTCCATCTCATCTTGGAAAACCTACGGGTGTCGTATTAACTTAATAGCCTATTGAGGTAACTTTTTGATTGGAAGTGCTGATAGGTATAGTGTAGGCATGCATTTTTACCTACCAAAGGAAATGAACTTTGAACATCCTTACCTGTATCCTGAACTAGTTCGTATTTCCAGGACTTGTTTATGATATTGTGGTCGAATAATTTATTTCTGTCCTGGGACTGAATTTTCACTGGTGTTTGTGTAAAAAAATTGTTATCAGTTTGGGATAAAAACTATATATGCATTGTTCACCTACTACAAAACATTCTGTATATAAAATACATAAAGTATATAAAAAGTATGACAGAATACTTGAAAACATGGTGATGATATGAAGAATACGTTAGCTTGGCTGAAGTACTCACTGTCTGTGATCGTCAAATCATCATCATTCGACGCAAAGTCAGAGGACGGATTCGGTTTTGCAAGTTGTCCAGTCCTTCATGAGGTAGTTATTCAGTTACAATTAAGTTATCCAAGACCCAGAGAAGCAGCGCTAACCCAACATTTGCTTTAACGTCATGGGTGTCTGACAATATTGATCAAGAATGTGCTCAAAGCGTGTAAAGACTTAAAGGAAGCTTTGCAAGCACAGTGGATGTGGTCTCAGTAAGAGGTGTCAGAATACTTAGACCACTGTTGAGAACTGAGGAGAGAGATGGCGGAGCGCTCCGTGGACGTCCAATTAAAAATCACTGCCTGCGAGAAAGATTGAAATAATCATGTGATTGAACCAAACAGTTTACGTCTTGTTTGTTTGTTCGTTCACATACTCACTTCCCTATCAGTTGTGAAAATGTTATTCACGATATCTATATTGAATTCCAGTTTCAAAGTTATAAACTGCTATTGTTTCATGAAATTTATAATAAAAAAGGAGCACTAGTAAAGCAGGTTTGTTAGCAGTTATCTAAACAGAAATACAGACATTGCAGCTATAATCTTGGTGCTTCAACGTTTCTCGATGTAAGCTAAAGTGCAAATCTACACCACTGGGTTTTATCGCGAAAGGGGAGGAAAAGAAAGGGAAATCCAAAAGGGTTAGGTCGTATAAACACGATACAAGTCTTGAGTAGCTGTCAAACTTCTACTATGGCGCATTCTAAACTTGAACTGGTCGCTCAAGAGGTACAGAGTTCCTAAAAGCCTTGTGTGAATGCTAGTGCACTGATGTTCTCAAACAATCGTGGACGTTAAACAAAAGAATGACGATTCCCGATATGTCCACGATTGCCAAACGTGTACAAAACATATTAGAGGCCTCCAAAAAAGTATGAACAAAAGAGGACAATAGGAACGTCCACGATTGCCCCCAAAACACGTTTGTGTGTGTGTGTGGCCATCGTTGGCTACAGATGCTGGGAGTGTACATATCAGGTCACAGAATGTTTTTCTGTCCGTCGACTGTCTGAGTGATCAAGTCGCTATTGTTTACTTGAATGTTCCGTATTGTCAGGAAAAAAAATAATAACCTTTTTTGCTTAGGACAAACAAAAGGCGCCGTGAAGTATTATTTTTTACAATCATACACCAATCAATTAGTGGGTCCGAGCATAGTCCAAAGATCCCTCGTGTTAGGTACGTGATCCTGCTTAGCAAAGTTGTGGGACTTGACTTATTGGGTCCCAGCACAGTCCACAATCATGTAAATTGTCAAAACATAATATGCACTCATCTTTCTTAAGAGAATATGCAAAGTTTAAAGTTCAAACCGCATTTTATAATAAGATAGTCTCTCGAAGTACTCGATTGAAAGACTGTTTTATCGACTTCGTCCACTGGCACTTTAATCCAATGATAAGAAATCGATAAGAGTGAACAAATCACGGGGTTCGCTCAGAATAACAAGTATTTGCTGTGATATATAAAAGTTTGAAGCGACCTGGTAATATTGGCCATTCCATCGCCAGTGCCTGGTCGCACCGTATAGAGGTTGTTGCTCTTTCGTAACCGTCAGTTAGTGACCCAGTGATGTACTTCGAGAGTTCCAGCATCTCTGAAATGCAGATTGTGTTCCGTGATAGCCTGTTAACTCGTTTCGTCTGTGTACAAAAACGAATCTGGAGAACAGGTAAGTCTTATTCAAAGCAAACTCTTTGACTTTGAGTATGAGTTCAAGCTTGATTTGAGCCATAGCTTGACTTCTTCCTGGATTCTACAGTGATTATGCACTTAATTAAGGTGGACTCAGCGAATCACGTGTAGTGAGTCAAACGGTACTCAGTCTAATCATTCTTCAGAGTGATGCCATGCAGAGCACACGGCCAAATCTGTGCTATCAAGTTCAGACTTGAGATGAGTCTACTCCTGTAGTATTTGATTTAAGTCCGACCCTGCGTTTACCTTCTTCGTTTCTTACATCCCTATTAGGCCTATAACTCTAATAACACAAGGAAGCGTTCGTGCAAGTCCAGCAAGACGATTTATTTATAATCTGTCTTTTCACCTGCTTTTTATCGACTGTTTCCCTAACGCCATTAGTCGTCGGAACACAGTTTCTTTTTTCCACCTGCATTCACCTTTTTGATTTTAAGCTTTAAATAGAACCTTGTTTGGTGGTGTGAAGATGAAATATAGTGCAGTGTTGACTGGAAAGGTATCATTTTTGTCTGCATGTAGTGATACCAGGTCAACTTTCAGGAAAAATTACTACTTGTGTCTAGCCCATGTAATCGAAAAGAGCCATGCTCTAAACCTCGTGGCTCACTCGTGCAAATAATTCGCTAAAATCCCGCGCTCAATGCAAGGTCACGGCCCAAACGTGCCAAATTGAAGTTCACGTGGAAGGATGATAACCACTCCATTGTCACACAAAAAATTGAAGTGCGGGGTTTCCGTTGTTCCTGATCTTTGTTCTGGGTCTCCCTGATAATTTTGTAATGGAGATCAAAGAGCAGAGCTTGAAGTTCAGCGTGACTAAGATCGTTCGAAACTGGGTCCCATTGTTAAAATTAAAACTGTTATAAGTAAACAAGTAATGTGGACGTTGAGATGGTAGTTTTTTGGTCATAATGAAGATCGTTCGTGAGTTTGAATGAGCTTTACATTAAATTGCCAAAAACAATCAAGAAATTGTAACCTAACCTAAAGAACAAGTAAACTCAGACCGCAACTTTATATGATTGCTATTTGAGAGAAAATAGTTGAGGCATTCTCACTCATAATATTTCTGTCTCTAACCTCGGCCGGAGAGCCGTAGCCTTTTTACTTATAAAAAAACCCAGTCCAGATCATGTACATTTTGAGTACGTCAGAACGCTAGAGAGTCTAGGTAATGACCTTGAAACCCGTAAAAATCAGCTGTGTGAAGAGCTCACTTTTATTTCAGTGGCACTGATTGATAACGTGTGACATAAGTCGGGACTCCCGCAGGCCAATCTAATTTAGTGGCAAACCTCTTAGGTCGGTCATCTGTTATCATGCCTAGGGGTGTACCCCACAGGGTAAGGTGATTTGAACGGAAATAATCTCAATCTCCGGACTTTTTAATCAACGGAACCCAGGGCTCCCCCTTTTTCCAAACTTCCAGGAGGCTCGATCGGGTTGAAATGAAATTACACTTGAATTCTAAAGTGATTTTGACTTTTGGTCGATTTGCTGGACGACTGTTTGAACACGGCAGTCCCAGTGCATCTGGTCAATTTGTAATGATGTTACAACTATATAGAGGATAAATAAGGACGTCAAAAAAGTCCTGATGTCAGGTAACCATGACATCATCGCACCTCATTCTATCTCGTCTTCCTCTTTAACTCACAGGAGAGTCGAACATTTTCAAACCGATAGCGAGCCGCATCTCACTTTGAGCTTCGTCAGGAAACGTTAAAAGGACCGAACAAACTTGGTGATACAATTTCAGAACAGGTATGGCTGCCAGCGTGTCTTTTGCTTTTCTCATGTGCATTATGTTGGTAACGTGCGCCTTGGCACGGCCAATCGGTTGCCAGGACTCGGACCGCTCCTCAAGCCCCTTAGCCAGACTCATGAGGAGAAGCGCGGCTATCGCCTCTAGGCTCCGGCTCCTGAGGTCTTTGAGAGAACGCCGCTGGGCCAGGTCCTATCCCATCTGGAAGACCCTGCATAGGGTACAGGAGCGCAACATGGACATCTCCCATCTGCCGCCGCTGCCTTTGCCGGACACGGAGCAGCATGCCCGGGACTTCGACCAGATACGCGCGGCTGTGGAGAAGGACTCGGAAGGCAACAAGAACTCATGGGTAGTCGGGGATGTCTTTGAGGGGGGCAGCTGGGGCAGCAAGCCTGTCTTTTTCTCAGAAGTTCCAAACCCAGAAGAAGAGAAGGGTGCGGAAGTGGAGTCTGACCTGAACGAAGGATGGGATAATGGCAACCCTCCCATTGAGAACGAGGATAATTCGGATGCGGATTGGGGAGAGTATAAAAATCCAGTAAGTATACTGTCTGGAGAGTAAAATTTAAAAAGAATGTCTAATACTTTTAGTCGAGTGGTATCGAGTTGTGTGATTACAAGGTTTAGTGCATGTGGGCGGGACCAGGACTAAACGATAAAGGTCATTTCACACTGTTGGCACAGGTTTTTTTTTATTTTATACAAAACCAAACTTGATGCATCCATCCGAACACAAACTTTCAGATTCCAATAACTATAACTCTCATTATATAGCCCCAGGAGAAGCAGTACGACATGTCAAGCTTTTAGCTGATTTCTTCTTTAGTTTCGGCTTGAGTAAAGACGACATAATCCGACGTGGATCCAGGGGGGTATTGGGAGTCGACCCCTCCCCCCGCTCTGAGACAAAAAAAGTTTAAAATTAGGGGGGAAATGGAAATAAATAAAGTAAATGCACCAATACTACCGATGTGTCATCATTGTTCCACTTGTCTGTAAATTTGAGACATTACCTAAAACTTTCGAAAGCCTGATACCCCCCCGGCAGAATTCCTGGATCCGCCCCTGGTAATGTTTGTCCTTTCCACCTTTCTGGCGTATCTAATAAAGCATACTTTTCCTCTTCGCATTCTGCAGTACCTGGATTGCATTGACGATAATATTGTTGGCATCCCTTGTACGCGTGACAGTGATTGCCGAGGATGTACAGCATATCACTGCTCTGCCAGCACGAATCACTGTGTGGCTGGCCCCAGGCCTCATCTGTAAGAGTGTTTTTTTTTTTTCAATTTTACATGCATTACCGTGAGAAAATACTTGTTCTCATTAATATTTACGAGGAAATGTAGCGTGTAACTGAATTGCACCTTTCACAAACTTAAGGATACTTCACAAATCTGTCTGTAGCTTAATGGGAACCCTAGAGTGTTATAATTCATGGTTTCATAACTCAATGTACAGCCCGATGACTAGCCAGACGTTACTTTCGAAGAAGCGTATCATTTGGACTTTACAAGGGCACAGCTTGATAATTCAGTAGTTTTTGTTGTCAGTGTTAAAAACGTTACGACAGATGGGACTGCCTATAAGTAATGTTTCTGTCATCAAAATTGCACGGTGTGGACAATTTTCATCAAGCAATATAAAAAGAAAAGCTCTTAAAACTGATCATAGGCCTATGCAACGAATGGGCACTAATACGAGTTAGGCATTAATCATATTACAGTCTAAGCTGCGTCCGAATCAATTGGCTATGGCTTGAAATTACACAAGACTCAATGGGAAGTGGCCACGGCCACAACCATAGACTCGTTCATAATTTCTAGCCGCAGCCAAGTCTTTTGGACACGGCCTTACGTTCTGAGCTATGTGATAAAAAGGTACATGAAGATGTTCACTGGTTGTTTTCTTCAATTAAATTGTCAAAATTGTTTTCATACTTGAAGAAGCTTAAGGTGACAGATTTTTACACCAGGGTTTGTTAATCTAGGGGCCTACCGAAATCCGATTATTTTCTTCAAAACGCGCGCAGATTCTTTTGGGAATGGTCTGCGCTGTTGGATTCTTCTAAAAGCAAATGTGCCTTAATACCTTGGAGGATTTTCTTGAATCAAATCTTCTAAAATAAAAAAAAATCACAGGTTTTCCTTCAAACTACAAAACTAGAAGGAGTTTTCAGCGCCTCGGGTTTGAATAGCTTCGTTAGTGCCGGATTAGTTCAAGACGTGGATGCGAATAATGCATTAACCTTTGCATCTTTAATAATTTACGTGTTGTTGGGAAAAAGAAGAAATTTTCCAATGAACATTACTTCAATTCGTTTCTTACACTGGGAAAACTGTGTTTTGCCCCAGGCTGGGCTTGAACTGCAACTGCGTACGATCATTCATTTCTCTCTTTTTTCCGCTTTCTTTTCTCTATAGGAGTTTCAGTGGATTTATCTGAATCACATTTGCCTTTGCCATCAAGATTCAGAGGGTGCAATTCCAAACTGTTTCTATTCGTATATTTTTGATGTACTCGCGGCTACTTCGTTCTCAACAACTTCTTGCGGTTTGCCTGATGCAATCCAGATTCTCTTCTCTCGGCATGCATGGATACAAATTTTTATTTCTCAATCAACTTGAAGTTTGGCCGGTAGTGCAGATTGCGGGACTACGACCCTTGACCGAATGGAGAACCTCGCGGGCAGTGCTCCTTATTTCTCGTGTATATCTTCACTACTGGAGCAAGGAACAACAGACAGTTTCCTTTGGCCTTGCAAACAGCTTTCGTTAGGATACATGAACACACAGATATACCCTGGACAATAGGTGTAACGATGTTTATCTCGATAGCTTGACATTTAAAAATGGCACAACTCCGAGTGAGTAAAAAAGGAAATTGTGATTTCTTACAGAGTGAGATAAGTTAAGAACATCCTTATATGACCTTCGCACGCCCCGTAACCAGCGAAAGTTTTTTCTTTGGAATGTTTTCCTTACATAATTTGTTTTTCGGCAAACTTACGACCATTAGTCAAAGCTTCCTACGCTTTGCTTTTCACGAACTTTAAGATCTGCCATTTGCCACAAAATTCTCACTGTCGTTGTTTCGTGACTTTGGCAGGGACACTGAAGGTGTAAAAAAAGTCTGTTTTATCTTTTTGAAAGGCTGGTTCATTATTTTACCCTATAGATGAAGGGAACTTCAAGACACCAACATGGTCGTTTCATCTGACCGTCCAATTTGCTTCGAACTAATATCTCACCCCCCCTTGACCATCAATAATTGCCATTGTCCATCCGCACGCCCCTTTGACCTATATGCCTCCAATTACCCTCGATTCTCCTCTATAGTTTGTCTTTGATATCCAGGCATTGAATCATATCACCATACACCAATGCACTGATTGATAATAACTCCATCAAGCCCCACTCCCCCACTCAAGGTAAACGCGAGGTGTGCTGACTGATTGCAACAAGATATCAACTGCGCAATACTTGCAATAACACGGCATTAGGGTGGGCTTTGTTTTCCCGTCAATTTTTATCAGTTGGCAAAGTCCAATCACCCCAAATCAACATGGCATGTACTGCCGCTGTATCTAACAACATTGTTTAATACTTGTTTCCAATCTAAAGTGAGTGATTAGACACCTGTTACTCAGAAGGACATCCAATGTAAAGTTTTCCTCGGTATCGCTTAATCCCATTTGTAATCCTGGTGTATCATAGCAAAACCCCACACTACGCAACTAATCCAGATTTTTATCGAGATGTCGACAAAACTAATGTCATGGAATCAAAGCTTCTGTCCCATCCACCAAATTGTCATTCATCCAATTGTAGTGTGCGACAATGTTGTCAAAGACCTCAAAGCATTCAAGCACACGAGCTTCATCGCTCCGAATTCCTAATTGGGCTGCTCTCACAAGAATGAATTCCTAATTGGGCCGCTCTAACAAGAATAAACCCCAGCGCTTATTTCACACACTCATGAACTTATTCTGAGAGATCCTCTGCGTGAAAATTGTTCGTTTTGTCTATCACAGACACAATGTGTGAGACAGCTTTATAGAAAATGTAAACTCTTTCTATTTTGGCGTGAAACTACTCACAATATTTATCGCGGATTTGACTTAGGAAGGGAGTTTGGAAATAACATTCAGCCAGTCCTTTTTCCTTAAATCTTAGACTTTTTCTCAAACACAGTAGCCAAATACCAAGGTCATTCTTTCTCCAAAGCTACTCCTGAAAATCTCGGATACGGATAAAATATACAAACTCAGTTGCTGTTTGTGGTTTAGGATTGAGGTGTTTAAAGTGCAATGTATTGATGTTTTATTACTACTGTATACTCCTTTCTTGTCAGTTCAATCTGAATTATGAATTCTTGTTGATTTGAATTGTTTGTGCACGATTAATTGCGTAAATTAATTGCTATGTGTATTCCACACTTAATACAGAATAAAAAAAAAGCAAAAAAGGGTCAGGTTTGATCCCCGTTTTTCCTTGCACCAATTCCCCTAATAATTTTAGCCCCTCCATTATCCGTTTAGTGACTGGCCAAATTTTAATCATTAAAGCAGTTCACTTTGTTCACACGCTGTCATTCAAAGAACTTGAAATTTAATATCTTTTTGAGCACACTTCAAAGATCACAAGCAGAATGCTTGAGGAATACAGTGGTCATTTATATTCATTGGAACTGTTTTGATTCACCGCAACTCCAAAGCCCAAACAGCGTATAAGTACCTACAAGGAATGATTAAGATAGTTGTGAACGCGCGCATACATTGCAGTCATCGTTTGTCCCCCCCCCCCCACGAGAAGTCTCAGTCTATCTAGGAACAGCTTCATGTAATCTCACAGGAAATAACTCTTCATTTCTTTGTATTAACATTTCCTAATGCTGTCCTCCCAATCAATTCCTTGCTTTATGCATGCATGAAAGCGTGCAAATGCCCGGGAACAAGGCGAGAAGCGATGGTTAAAGTTCACCATGAGTGATAGAGCAGAACTTCACGACTCCTGGTAATAAGCAAATAATTAGCTTAAACGAGAGGAAGTTTGTTCTAGGCCGTTTTCCAATATTCAACTTTGTCTCCGTCTCAGGCTTCGTTTAGGAAATTAATCCCCGATTGTGGGCCTGAAGCGTTTAACTTAAATTGAAGTACTCTAATGTTTTGCTAATCTGCATCTTCCTTGATCTTTTGTGGCACTATCAGACTTACTACTGCGCTTACAACCTCAAAGTCAGCAAGTAAAAAAAAACAGTTGAAGCCTGCGACGGAGTATTGCAAAACGGCCCTATAGTGTAATTCGACCGCCAGAATTGGAAGCCATTACTGCGGCGGCACAACGCTCATGGACAGGTGGTACGCGCGCGTTACATGCCTCTTCAACCAACAGGGTGTCGTGATTTGCTAAAGTCACGCGCGCGTCAAGCTGAAGAATATGCGTGTGAGTGCGGTGCCACAGTAATGGCGTCTAATCGGATTAGTCTACACCCAAACCACATACAGATCCCTTAATCTGCTGATTAATAATCAGATAATCTTTATCAGCTGAAAAAAAGTGGGCGGGCGTAGAGGGCGCCAAATGGAAAAATGGCCCTGTTGAGATGAAACGACAATGGTATTTACGTAAGTAGTATCCCGTTTACGGAGTAATTTCCTATGGGAACAGTGGCGAAACTAAGGGGGTTAGGGCACGACCCCCTCGATCGATGCCTATCCCCCCGTGGCCCCCAACCCCTGCTCAGAAATTAAAGAAAGAAAACAAAATCTGGTGATAGTCAACCCTAGTTAGTGTTTCAGTTATGATCAAACCCACACTGAGTGCCCTCCCTCCAGAAAATAGGGGCCCCTAAGTGTTCCCTCCCGTTAAAGCACAATGCATGATACAACTGAATAACACTTAGGTCTCGGCCCGACTAAAACTCAAAGAAATCAGAATCATCTTATCAAAATATGTGGTTATAAGTACACATCCGAATAAATAATTTTTAATAAAAAAATTATCAGAGGGCCACAGAAAAAAATTAATATATTCATCGTTAAAGTTGCACTCTAACATCTTCAAATAAAATTTAATAAGATAAAGACGGCACAAGCAGAAAAACGGTAAAAGGTTTAAAGATTAATTAGGAAAGATTAAGGTCACTAAGGCCTGTGCCTAAAAAAGTTCGCCGACAGGTCTCCAAGACAGAGAGGAAATTCCTATTTGTACCTTGTGGTATGTTATTTGACGAACGGTTTCACAAATATTTAATGTTATGATGTTTATTGACCAATACAAATTCTGAAATGAGGAGAAATGGCTGTAGTGATCATTTTTTCGTAATCTATAAACAAACTCAACAATTTTAGATTAAAAGGTATGGTCATTCCAAACATGGAAATTACTGCATAGGAATTACAGAATAGCAGACCGACAAACTTAGACCCAATAAAACATTTTGGAGACCCTAATGAAAACTAGTGAGACACCTAGATTGAGCGATTCATACAAATATCAGAGTTACGTGACAACGGTTTCATGACATTTTCGCCTCAAAACTTCGAAATAATCAGATGAACATACTTGTCTGATTCAAATCTAAATCTACGTATTGTCTACAATAAATCACATTAGATCATAATATACGTGTTCAGTGAATTTGGATACTATTTCCCCTATTCATGAGCTCAACACCAGAAAATTAATAACTAAAAAAAATAGGCAGCATGAGCAAAATAGTTTGAACAGCGATGTTCGTCTTAAAACGAAAATGAATGCTGTTGATAAAATTCGACTGAAAACACCTAAAATTTCATCCTATTCTGACTATATATTTACAATGAAATTTAAAACAAATTTTAAAACACAATATAAAGATCTAAACCCAGTTAGTCCAAGTT